CTGGGCTTATTTTTAACCTAGGCATCCTAGGAAATCTAGGCATTTTAACCTAGGCATCCTAGGAAAGAAACAGAGCTCCATGCCAGAATACTTCATTGCCAGTGTTAGGACTTTCATCTGAGCATTAGGCAAACCTTATGAAAAGCTTGAAGCAGCTTGGAGTCCTGAATTTAAGTTGTTAACGTCCCAGGTAAATCACCCTACTCACTCAACCAGTGGATAAAATGGGAGAGCTGGGACTGCTTCCCTCTCATGTTTATGGTCCAGTCCTTTGCTTTTATTAAATGTACCTGAAAACCAAATGAAACAGTTTGCCAGGTGTTAAAAAATGTTTCTATAACCCCAAATTAATTCTTGTCGCTGTGCTGACAATTCTAAAGAAATGAAGTTTCCATTCAGTCCATAACATTTTTTCTCTTCAGTTCAGCTGCCAAAATACTTTAAACCCAGCAACTATTTGCGCAGCCCTATAAATTAGGTTTACTAAAGGAAACAATTAGCAAGCCTGTAGCCTACAGGAATTTCAATTGGTGCTGCTAGACTGCATTGTTTAAGTAATTAGAAAATGATTCCAACTATTGTAAGTATTTGCAACACAAATGCAGAGCACATAGATGCTGCCCTATTAATAATGGGAGCTATAAAAAGATTGAAAAGCTGGTCTGCAGAGGAGGTCATATGCTTATTAGTCCAACCAGTATATGCTTTTCTTTGTCATTGAATAGCAATATTAAAATAAAATAGGCCTGTACAGGGAAATGTGCTCCTGCACTGCTAAATGTGCGAGAAATTAAAGGACACAGACGTGTCCCCTACTCCATTCCAGTTTAAACAGATGAGCAGCTGAATAAAGGCATGAGGATAATAATTAGCTAAGTTAAGGGGTACCACTGGACTAGAATTCTGTATGGATACTGAGCAGAGCTATAAAATCAGCAGCAAGGTGTCATAAAGCCAAAACGAGTTTCCAAATGAGTGTCTATTTCCAAGTGGAAATAGCATCAATCATAAATGTTGATCTTGTGAAACCTAATTTAACAGGAAAACTCAGCAGAGACGCTCAAACCACAATTTAATAAACTCCACGATCCTGAAATGCAATTAATCTGCTTAAGACGGTAATACTTCCAGCTAATAATTTCAACCGCCTCCTTAAAAAAACTCTGCACCTCAGATTTAGCTGTTAAGCTTCAGAGATGGGCGAGCGGCCAGATGTTTATAAACTCTTTTCAGGTTACAATTTAGTTACGGTTACAGGGTTAGACAATGTCCTCTCATTTAGCCCTTCAACCGACTAGCTTAACCATTATCTGCCGCTACACTAGGCATATGCACCCTGCTGGCTGCTACTCCCCGATGCCAAGTCATCTATTTCCCCGCTCCTGCTAGGCTGAGCCTGCTCCATTCATTCCCCAGACAGCCGCCTTTCAGGGGAGCATTACAGGCTCAACAGACCTCTTTGTTGGGCTTCTATTTACACCACCATTTTTTTGTTACTCGGCTTGTGAAAGGAAACAACAGGAGATGGAGAGGAGACTGGCCGCTAACACAGTGGACCAGAAGTCATCAACCTCGGTTCTTTGAAGTGGTACGCACGGTAAACACGGCAACTAGACCAATATGCGAAATAACCTGGTGGTCTAAGTGCAGCTCTCAAGAGACGCGTGGATCTATATCTACAAAAAGTCAGCATCGTAATCAGCAATAACTGGCAACCTTCCCCGGTATTTACAAAGCACTGCAGTGTAATTATTCACCCGGCCCCCATTGATTGTAATGGGATTTGGCTGGATAAATCCCCATGTAGCTCTTTGAAAATTTGGGAGCTTTGGAGCAGTGGCTGTGCAGTTGCAAACCTGAACACATGCTCAGATAGAAATATGTGCTTTCCAAATACAGCTGAAATGCAGCAGCAAGGATTGTGAGCCTTTGCCTCAATTGCTGCCATCTCAAAGCTGTTGTGTGACAGAAATGTGCCTCCCTGCAGCAGGACACCACGATGGCCATGCGTCCCAGGCACAGGAGTACATGCTGGACTTTGAATATGTCTTTAGTTCCCTTCACCTTCAGCAAGACCAAAGCAAGCACACGACTGCTTCGTGGCACAGATCTCAGCATGTGACTCGGGGTGTAAGGCCTATGGCAGTGGTCTGGAGGCCTCACGGTGGTTTCGCTTGTCAGGTCATTGCTGGGGAGCTGCTTTGCATACACACCATGCTGCCCAGCATCTGCCTCCCCAATGCACCGTGGGCCGGTGTGCTCCTGTCTGCACCACAAAGGGTTTTGCAGCCCCGTGGCTTCGCTCCCGTGGTTCATCCCCTCGACTTCTGTGGGAGTGACGCTCCAAATTTCAGCGAGCAACAGCAAGGCCAGGGCTTTCCACGCCGAGGTGAAAGTCGCAGTGTGTTGAACCACAAGCTGAGCAGGCATAAAGAAATTGGGTTCGGTGAACTCTGAGCCATTCAGACTTAAACACAGAAACACAGAATGGTTTGGGTTGGAAGGGACCCTTAAAGGTCATCCCCCTGCAATGAGCAGGACATGTTCTAGTAGATCAGGTTGCTCAGACCCCCATTCAACCTGACCTTGAATGTTTCCAGGGACTGGAGCATCTTCCACGTCTCTGGGCAACCTTTTGCAGTGCCTCACGACCCTCATTGTAAAAAATTATCTTCCGAAGTGGTGATGCCTTAGACAACATAAACACCACCAGAGGCAAAAGCAATGTTGCTTCTCTGTGATAATTATTTCATATTTTTACAGTGTGACAGATGCCAGATAGTGCTGTGGTGCAAAATAGGTCTATACGTGTTGCCTTTACCATGAGTCCACCGCCAGTCTTTCAAAACATTTTACTGGTGCCCAGATTTGGGGGTCATGGGATGATAAAGATCTCACTGCTTCCATTTGATGAAATGCGCATTTTTAGACTTGCTTTTTCAGAAATAAAAAAGTTGAAAAAGAACCCTAATAGCTAAAAAATTAAAAGTGACTAAGAAGAACTGTATTGCTATTGTGGAAAAGTTTCTATTCCTAAACCAGTCAAATCATTGGGAGAATAAGGGGACTGGCTTTTGAATTTTCATTATTTAAAGTATTTTGCTTCACTAACTTTTGCAGATATGAGGAGAAACACATTTTCATGTCCTGCTTTACGGCAGATTAACTTACTATTTCTCCCTTGTCTGGTGTGCTTTGTTGCTTTTTAAGAGCACCTCCTTCGCGAAATAAAAATGTTCTTTTATCTGACAATATCCAGAGGCTGGACATAAAACAGACAATGCACAGAGCACAGTGTGTGCATGCACGTTTCAGTGTACAGAAATTTGCACTTTTATTTTCAACCAGTGCAAATGACAATTAAAAGCGATAGCCTTTCAACTTTTGCAAGAAGAGATCCCATTTTTGCATTTTACGGGGTAATTAGAAAAACAAAATTTTATTGCCTGTATAGGAGAACAATTTTCAGCGATGCAAGTTTATAGTGAAACCAGCTGATATCCATCTTGCTTTATCCATGTTGCTTTATTCTTTGATAAAAACCTTATCCAATGAATATTTTTATGCTATTTTACTTTCTGGGTAAATTGTGTGCATCATAAGATATAAAAAAGTATAGTAGTTACTATTGTTTTCCTAATGGGTTTTCCTTTCCAGTACAGTATTTTATGGTAGTTATCACATTGAGAATTTGCCAAAATTATCTGACAGACCTGCTCTGGTGCTTCAGCAGTGCTGACATTCCCATAAAAGTTCCAAGAAGGTAAAAAATAGCCATTATTTTTTGCTTCCCAGGAGTCCCAGAATCCGCCTAGTCAGCCAGAAAGAGTTGTTCCCTTGTAAGGCCAAAGCAAGACTTTGAAGCACATCAGGTTTACGAAAACATAGATGAATCCCATAAAGCAGTCTATAGAGGGGAGCTCAAAAAGTTAAATTTAAAGTGTTAGTTGTGTTCTGCTGAATGTTGGGGTAAAGCTAACAACTGACAGGGCTGCCTGGTCGTCAAGAGGTTGAGACGGAAAAACAGGGCCCCAAAAGTTAATTGCACATGTCATTTAAATTACCGTGATTTCATTTACACTATCTTACACAACTCCTTGGCTTTGATTAGTTTGTTTGGTAACTGTTATAAAGCAACAGTACATGCATATCGAACGTGGGCGCTACTAGTTTATGCAGAAATGTTTCTCCATCACCTAGTCTCATTTTAGCTCATTTTATTAAAACACTGGAGAAAGAAAGGGAAAAAGTAGGGTAACAACATATACAATTTCCCCCTTGAATATTTCTGCTTTTTCAGAGGTAAATGCTCTTTAGCCTTCCAACTTTCAAAGAAAGAGATCCTGAAGTTGAATTTTAAAGAGCACTTAGAATAGCTCCTAGTATTGCATTTTAAAAAGCACTTAGAAATATAAAGCTATTTTTATAGCAGAAAAATGTTTAGTGATTTAAGCTTATTGTGAAGGTTTGAATACATATTCTGAGTTAAGTGGCTGGTATGGAAACTATACAACAAAACCGGATAAAATTATCACATGTAACACACTGTATTTGTATATATTATTATTTTTAAAAATATGTATGTACTTGTCGGGAAGTATCTTGGACAGAAGATTCTTGAACAGGCTGACAAGAATCCTTGGAGCAGGAGCATGACACCCAGTTGCTGTGAAGGACAGCAGCTTGCCATGTGTCCAGCTTCCAGTTTTGTCCCCATAGAAAAGAGTGGACAGAGAGGCAGCACGAGGCAGTGCGTTAGAAACCTGGGAAAGCTGCACTTTATGGGATGATAGGATCCCCATCCTATGACCTTCAATTCAAAAGACCCACAAAGAAGGAAAAAAAAGAACACACAAAAAAACCCAATTAAACAAACTACAAAAACCCCAAAGAAATAATCCCAGTGAGACTGCTATCATCAGCAAGTACCACAAAACTTGGTGAGATGCAAAAACAGGAGAGTAGCCCTAGACCTAGATTCTAGGACCTCACCCCCTCAGACCCCAACCCTGATCTGGAACCATATGCTGACCCGGAACCTGAGCTAGAACCCAATCTAGCACCTGCTCTAGACCCAATGAGAGGGCTAGAACCCAATCTAGAACTTGCTCTATGTCCAGAACAAAGAAGCAGTCCAAACAAAACCAGCAGTCCTAAAGCAGCAAGGAAGCCTGAACCAACAAACAAGCTAAACCGCAATTACACTCTGGAAGCATCCAATGACCTGGAAACCAATCTAGAACAACAAGAACAAAAAATCGAGCTAGAACCTCCTGTAGAACCTAAGTTACATAGAACCCACTCAGAACTGGAGCAAGCTAGAACATTATCTAGACCTTGCTCTAGAATCTAACCTAGAACTGAGCTGGCAGTGTGTTCCAGGTGGCCGGCAAGACCAGGTAACTGATTGTCCCCCTGTACTCAGCACTGGTGAGGATGCACCTTCAATTCTGTGTTTAGTTTCAGGCTCCTCCCTTCAATAAAGATGCTGAGGTGTTGGAGTGGGTCCAAATAAGCGCAATGAAGCTGGTGAAGGGCCTAGACCATGTCTTATGAGGAGCGACTAAGGGACATGAGGTTGTTTAACCTGGAGAACAGAAGGCTCAGAGCATCTTATTGCTCTCTACAGCTATCTGAAAGGAAGTTATAGCAAGGTGGGGGTCCATCTCTTCTCCCAAGTAACAAGTGATAGGACAAGAGGACAGTGTCAAGTTGCATCATAGCAGGTTTAGATTGAATATTAGAAAAATTTTCTTCACCAAAAGGGTTTGGTTGGAAAATACCTTTAAGATCAAATCCAACCATCAACCTAGCCTTAAGTCTGCCATGAGACCATGTCCCTAAGCAAGACAACTACATGTCTTTTGCACACCTCCAGGTATGGCGATTCAACCACCTCTCTGGGCAGTCTGTTCCAGTGCTTGACAACCCATTTAGTAAAAAAATTCCTCCTGATATCCAACCTAAACCTCCCCTGGCACAACTTGAGGCTAGTAATGGCCTTAGAATTTAATGCTTAGAAATTAAGCACTTTGTGGGGACTCACATGCACGACTATCTCTTTAGAATCCTCAATAAAAGATTAAAAAAGGGTCAGAAGACCACATACCACCTCCATTTTGGTGTCTCATGCATCAGATTAAGTAACTACACGGCACCAACAAACAATAATGAAGTTTGATCTGCTGCTGCCCTGGGGTGCCTTGAGCAGCCTGCTTGAGGGAACTTGAACAAGCTGCTTCCCCCTAGTTAGGCACACGAAGCAAACGCAACAGGGAGAATATTTAATGAAGACGCTTAATATGTACTATCCCGTATTTAAAACAAGTAGAGGAGGTGGGAGAGGCACGTGGCCCACAGTGGCGATCTGGACCATGACACCCAGAGCGTCACAGTGAAGGGAGCAGGGTGCTTCCATGTCCTCTCCCGAGACTGGCCCAGAGCAGCAGCCTCTGGCTGTCAACAGCAATGCCCCTACACCTCACAGCGAGAAAAACCCCCCAGACATTTCATGTAATGTGTCCCTGACTTGGGCTGGGGGAGCAAGACCATGCGGGCAAAGTCGAGCCGTTCCCAGGCACCAGCACCACCCCGCACCTCTCCAGTGCTGACATCTTGGGGCTCGGTGTGCCTCCTGCTGCCAAATGGCTGCCTGCCAGAGCCACGTCTGAGAGTTAAGCTGTCAGGCCCTCCTTCACCTCTATGCCTTTTTTCCTTCCCTCTTGGAAAAGGGAGCCATCAAGAGACTTTCAACCTTTCCCTGCCCTCTTACAGCTTTTGCAGGATTTTATAACAGCTGGTACAGGGTAATTACGGTTGCTCTCTACACAACTTTATGCATTAATCATAATTACTCTTCATTAGGAGTGCAGTAATATCCAAAAACTCAGGTGCAATCTGTGGGTGCTTAGTGGCTAAAGCATGAATAAGAATATAAGGGCCTTCACCCAACAACCTTGCCATCTACTTTGAAACAGGACAATAAACGCTGGAAAATTAGTACAACCTTGCAATAAAGATGAGATCAATGATAATGAGAAAAGTATTTAGAGAAATTACTTTCTTTTCCAAGCTTTAAAAAAACAAAAACACTCTGAGTCATCCAACTGAGGAAATTAAAACACACACCAGGGCATCTGCTTGTGTGCTCCGAAGCTTGTATTTCACTTCAGTGTAAATAAACTGGAATTTACCTGGACCATGACAAGGAAATAGTACTTCTACTCACATGAAAGCCATGCTGCCCATCCTTTTAAGCCAGTATTATTTTCTTGTTCTGTTCTGTACCCTTTTTGGTGGGTAACGTTAGTTTACACCTCGTTAACAAGTACTTTTTAACCAGCAGCCAGAAGAGAGATCTTGACTGGACAAATGGCATCTAGTCTTCATCCCTGTCTGCTGCTGATAGACACTGTGTTTAGACAGGAGTTTTACATTTATAGCAAATACTTTCTTGCCAGGTCGTGGTTTGCCACTACTGAGGGGACACTGGCAATGGAAATGTCACTCCCATGGTCATACGTTCACTGATTATCCATTACACACATTACAATCTCTAGCAGGATCTGAAACCTTTAATTGTCCTTTTCCTAAGGGTCAAAGAGAACTTTCAGATACCTTAGTCTGTTTACACATTAAAACAGGCTTTGCTGTCCTCTCCCTGTTGCCAGCACTCAAAATACTCTCCCTTTCTCCCATGTCTGCAACGCTTCCCCCTACATCCTGTACCCAATCTTCACAGCCAGGATGCTCAGGGTTACTACACCCACTGTCACACACACAGCACTGTGCAGCCATGTAGTATTTGCCTCTATGCACTGTATTTCTCCATGGCCGCCCTCATCACCAAGCCATTGCCATTACCACCACCATAGGGGAGAAGGAGAGCAACCAGAGGTTAAAAAGAGAAGTCTAGAGATGCAAGGATTAATTTTGCCTGTGCAGTATCAAAAATAAAGCTAAAAACACTGCATGGACTGTAAATTCGTTCCCATTTTTTAGCCACTACCACATCCAAATTCTGGCACAGATAGGCTGATACTTCAAGAAAGAATGTTATTATCAGTATGTATTGGGGGGAAAAAATGAAAAAAAAAAACCCAAGCACAAAAAATAATCAGTATTTTCTACAAGTTCTTCCCTTTACTAAGTTGGAAAGAAGTGTACTGATTGAATATGGTGAAATACTAGCAAATGGTCTTCTGTCTCTGAAATAAAACTCATTTTATTTTTAAGGCCCAGTAGCCTTCATCTTAACTGCTCTCTAGCTTGCTACGGAGTCAAAAAGTTACCACTTTGGGATCTAAACTATCATAAGCATATTTCCAGTTTTATTGCATAGTAACAATGGTAATCAGGCTCGATTAGCAAGATATGAATGCATTTTCGGAATCTGCAAGGTCTCAGCGACTTGCTAGCTGGTAAACATATAAATAATGCACTGCGAATTGAAACACATCTCTGCTTTGAGCTGTATAATGTAATTGTTGCAATTTACTTCAGCTCTAATGAGATTAGAGTTTACAGATGTGTAGTCCAGTACTTTTGCAAAGGTGCATTAGCATACATATGAACTACAAAAGCACATCTCTGTTTTATGGTATTTGCTGACTAAGAGTGGAATGTCAACGCCTTTACTTGACTCTACAGAAGTACAGTGGAGACTTTTTTTCTTTTCTTTCTTTTCAAGTTTCTGCTTGGTGAAGCTGTATCTTTTAGTACTTAAATTCTTCTAAAAGTCTACATCTTTCTCCAAGAAAATGGTGCCTTGCATTCCCTCTTTCTCCCTCAGACAAGTGCAAAGTGCCACACAGTTACGGTATATTGGTAAAACTGCAGCGTATCCCTCAATACTTGCAGCAAAATGCAAGGACATCACCCAAAGGGCTAAGATGTACATGGCAAAAACCATCATGAAGTGGCACCTTGACACTTCAAGTTATATTAATTAACAGCCACCACCACCAAACATGGTTATGTTGGACATTTTAGCTGCAGGTTTCTAAGCAGCTTCCAGATGAGAGAGGCAGAGGGAACTTGCCTATCCATACAGCAACTCACAGGGTGAAAAGGGTGCTGAGGGTTAAGAGAAGAAAACCCATCTGGCTGTTGTTCATCATGAAGGTGTAATACTTGTTTTGAACGTGTTTCAGGAAAATGATTTATTATCAACAGAGGAGCAATGAAAGTAGGTTAATTTACATATTGCTTGCAAATGTTTCGTTAAATGAATCGTACATTTATAGCGATACCAAAAACCTTTAACATTTTGTTCGCGGAAGTGTAGTCAGTAAAGAATTTTCTTTTCTTGAAAAGTTTTACTGGAGCTTGTTATTCTGTCAGTTTAATCGGATCCTCAGCAAAACAGGGAACAGCTTTACAGAGATCCTTACAGAGGCTGCTGCTGTAGAACAATGTTTTACTTCAGGTACAATAAATATAACACTTCCTGTCCTTGCAAGTCTAATATAAAGAAATGATCCTTTAACCATCATTTTAGTGCCTGCTTGAGGGGGTATGGAGAGGAAAAGCTTGTTATCTGCCTGCTGTTGCCTTCCCTTTTTTTAGGATGCCCATTAATTACGCTGTCTCCAGCTCTAGGCTTGGTGTGCTGCCCGTGAGGGGGCACCCGTGATTGCAGCCTGAGCGACATTGAGTGCATCGGATGAGCACTTTCAAGATACTTAGCTCAAGCAGGCTGTCAGCAAAGAAGATGTGGTACTTGCATAAAGCTGGGAAGAGAGGCATGTTTAACACTGGTATTGGTACCTACTTTAGTACTGTGCTATCTGAGTGGAGCACCCATCAGGTAGCCATTTCTTTATAAATGGGGAAAAAAACATGGCTACTGTTTTACTTTTGCTTCTGGAGAAGGGTTGGGCAAGAACCTCATATTTTAAACCTATATCCAGATTTCTGCAAAGACGCAAGTTTTAATTAGATTCAAAGTGCGGCTAATATGGGATATCAAGTATGGCTTTGAGCTTTTCTGTATTTCCTTGATCAAATCTGGATCCCAACTGGTTTAACACTGTCTGTGTCTGAGCAGAGTAGCTGCTGCCCATCAGCCACCATGACAAAAGATCCTGATGCACAAATCATCAAAGGTAGTCATCAACCAGAACTTGCTGCAGCTCCCTTCCAGCCCACACACACGTTTCTCCCCACAGGGACCAGCACCTGGAGGGGGAAGGGAGACAGTGCATGTCTATCTCTAGCTTCTTGTCAGGGAGCAGTTGAGGTTCATACACAGATCTAGAAGCCCGGAGGTGCTGTTGAGCCCAGAAAACTCCAGCTCAGAGAAAAACTAACATCTAGGTTAATTTGAGTCAAGCACAGATGAAGATCAAGAGTCTTACTACAGGGGCATGATCTAACACAGAAGCTCACTCAGCTTTAGTTCTGAAGGACCTTGATTTATAGCTCAATGAAACTCTCATTAACTCTAGGAGGAAGATAAATACCAGCTACAATTCTCACTTTATAAGGGAGGAAGTTGAAACAGAGGTTTAAGTCCTCGTCTGAGTTTGCCTTTACCTTGGGCTACAAGATTATACAGTGCTCAGATCTGCGATTATGAAACACCTGCTTAAAATTCATAGGTGCTATGTACTTGTGGCTATATTTATGTTCAAAACTGAATTACTAGAAAAACAAAAGCAAAAAGGACAATGCTCTGCTCATTACTTTGCATTCCCTTTTTCAGGGTAATAGCTCCAGTTACAAAGACCAAGTATTCTCATCTAGTTTGTTACCTTATACCTTTGTGCATAACAACACTAACCTATTTCCTCATAAAGTATGTCTCAGACATAGCCTTACTGTCACCTCTAGGTGAAACAAATCAACCTAGACTTTTTTTTTCTTTAAATAGCATGCATATTTTCTTTTCAGGTCACAACACTGGAAGATGCGTATGAAGCACCATAGCTGTGAATCAGTGCATGTGGAGACGGTTCTTGCTCTCAGTGCAGCCTTGGTTGTTGCTCAGATTGTGCTTGCTCAGTGGAAGTAAAGACACTGTTGAACATACAAGGCAAGTGGCTTGTCAGAAAGAGCAGTTTTGGAGCTGTAGTGGTTAAGACATCATCTGATGCTGTGATTGGTTTTTAGTAGGTTAAAGCTTTCCTTAAAGAACAGACTTTGAGTTTTCTAACAACTGTATACTAATGGACAAGGTAGGAGGACAAAGCAACCACCCTCACCTACCTGAATTAGCGCTACAGGGGGTTTACCGTGAGAATCCAAGGACCCCATTCATCAGGTTACTCAGGCACACGCCTAATCAGAGAGAAAGCTTGTCTTGTGGTTAAGGTGCTAAAACGGGGGCTTATGGTGCTTCAGCACACTTCCTTTCCCCTACCACAAACCTCTCTGCAAACCTGAGAAAACCAGAGTGACATGATTTCCACCCTGACCTCCCCACTCAACAGCTGAAAATGAAGTTAGACATCTCAGAAAGTGCCAGTCCTTAAAAAAGCAATGTGAGATTTAAGTGAACATTAAACAAATAATGGGGATTGCACAGATTGCAGACAGGCAGAATTTTAAGCACACAAGCAGTTTCCTAGCTTTTCCCTCTTCATCAGCTGGTGTGTGCCCCAAGCCATCTGTAGACTGAAACCCATTTTTTTGGTAACCGAACTTCTTAATAGCAGTGACATCAATAATTGTAATGATCAATACTTTATGCCTTGGCAATTGCTCCTCAGAGTCTCAAGCAGCATTGGCGGGTCTGTTAAACACTAAAGAATGAAACCTTGATACGATTTACAGAAACTGTTTTAGGAAGGGATGTAAACCCAGCCTGACCTGTGACAGCTTTACTGTTAGTGGAGTTTCACAGTGCCATAAAACTGCAATGCAGAGGTTGTGAAACAAGCTCTTCAGCTGTACTTTACAGAGTTAGGAGCAGTGATGAAATGTTTGTCATGGCAACACATAGACAGGTGAGGTGTGTAATGAAGTCACAGGTAGTGCAGCTCATTGAGGATTTCAGCTGCATGTCACTAACTCTACCTCTACACACACACACTCCTAACCCTGAGCACACACAGGTCCTGAGCACATATAGTACAATCATATACAATACTTCTTTATCATTATGTTCTATTCTTGTCTACATCTGTTCTGCTCTATCATTCAATAATTTCATGTTCATGTTAGCATTCAGTTCAGATCTTTTAATGTGTTTCATTCCTATTGGGTTTTGCCTTCCCAATTTCAACAGGCATTTAGAATAAAGAACAGAAAACTGAAGTGACTGAAGTTACTCAGACCATCCACGCCTTTGTTTCCCATTGAAAATATTTTGCATGAGGCTGGTACCAAATCAGTGGTGAAACAAACTTGAGCTCTAAATATGCATACAACGGGGAGCAGCTGGGGAGGTTCCTGCCTGCCTGGGAAAATCTGGGGGAGTTTGAGCAGCCTGCACGTGCATTGCTTTGTCATTAACCTCCTCAGCATTAACTAAAAGTTAGTTAATGTGTGCTACATCAACTCAGCCTCTGTCAAAAATCCCAATAGCCTGCACTTGTTACAGTCCTGTTACTTGTATGACTTATTCTTCAGCAATTGAAGCTTCATTCCCATCTATTCATTTACAGGAGTCAATCACACCTACAAACTGACACAGCCAACATGGAAAAAAATAAACTTTTATATCCATTTAGCCTAATTTAAGGAGGCTCCAGTACAACTACAACCATCACAACACTTTAATAACACTTCGTGGTGGTTTTCGTGCATATTGCAATGCATTTTAAAATAAACAAAACATCTGCACCAGAAACCCTTTGGGGGGGGGGCCCTCAATTTTCAGTGCATAGCTGCGTGGTAGCAGCGTGGCCACCTTCTCCAGTAAAAGAGGAACTGAAGCAGAGGCTCCTTCAGTAAAAATACCACCACCAGAAGCTGAAGTTCGCTTTGCACTGAGTTTTGGCAGTTCCGCTTCACGCTCTGTGTAGCTGGGAGAGTAATACATTCTCACACCTACCATCTATCTACACATGAAGTTACTTTATAGTAGCAAACACTACTCACAGTGGGTCTCTGCCAGTAAATGGTTTATTGCATTTATTCCATGTTAGGTAACTTAAGAATGATTGTCACCAAAACCATGTACAAGTATGTGTATTAAATTATAACTGCCCTTGTGTTTCATATCCAGATACTTTCATATAGCTTTCAAACACACTGCCAATGTCAATGCATTAGCTTGCTTTCCTTAAAAGCAAGTCGTGCAGCAATGGTAAAGTTACAAATTTCTACCAGTACCGTAATTGCCAAAATCTGATCCACTGTACTTTGAAGACTTACATATAGGAGAAACATTAAGATTCAAAGTTGAACGATTAATGAGATCCTTACGCAAGATAGATTAAAAATAGCTGGTATATGTTGTTGTATCAGATAAAGCAACCTTCTGATTTAGGAGCAGAAATTGCAAAGGTGGTCGCACTTAGGATTTAAACAACTTGGTTAATGCATACAGGAAATTGTCCATTTGACATAAAAATAAACAATAAAAAAAAATAAATCTACTGCTTCCCTCAGTACAGGCAGGTCTAGACCTCTGCATTGCAGCTCTTCCAGGTGGCAGTTATTATGCTTGCGCTCATGTGCGTATCATTTTTGTTTGATTTGGTAGGAAACTTTTAAATAAGTCAAAAATTGAAAAACAACCGCATGCTCGCTAAAGAGAAAACAGCCCTCTACTTCTGCTTGCTTATGCATTTCTCTCCCTTGCCATCCAGTTTTTGACCGCTCGGTTGATGCCTGCGCAGTTCACATACAGGTTATGCACAACAGTGTCTAATGGTGGAGGAGAAGAAACCAAACCCTTTCCCCTGCTTGTAACAACGCGCTGGCGTCTTTAGGAGCAAAAAAGAAGGGAAATCGGATGAAGAGGTACAACATATTATTTTCAATGGGAGGGGTAAACTTAAAGCTCCTTTTCTCTGATCAAAACCTGCTTTCCTTTCTGTTCGCTGCCCCAAGGGGTCAAGGAAACAAGCAGCCAGCTCTCCATGGCGTATCATGGCTTGGAAGGTAGCATCAGCTGACAAACCTTTCCCTCTGGTCCCCTGAGGTCGAGGTGGGTGTTTGCATGGATATGTCCCTGCTCTGGGTACTCACGCTATTCTCAGACAGAGTAAGAGCTCAGAGAGAACTGCACAGCCCTGTGAGAAGAAATAGAGCAACGGCCTGCAGTGATGGACTCCCACTCTCCCCTCCAAAGTGCTTTGAAACATGTAGAAAAGGAGAAAAGTTTGGTTTCTTTTTGAAAGAAAAAGGAAACAAAGGTCAAAGTGAGCATAAAATCAGCCCTACGTGGAAAGGGCATTCATTAGCTTGCCCAAAAAAAGAACAAAAAATAAAAAGCAGCCACTACTTACTAGATGCAAGAGAAACAGCAACAGTCCTGTAGCTTCCAAAAGAGCCTTATCCAGGCTTATCAAGAACATAAAATGTCTCCTGAAAAAAAAAGGCATGCTGGGGAAGGCTCCTATTTCAAAGGGGCAAGAGCAAAATCACTGCGGCAGAGCAACTAAGGCTCAGCTGTGCGTAATTTTGACAAGAGGGAAGAGATTGCCCTTCACCAGATGGCTACATATAAAGTAACATGGGTGTGATCCTAGTGCAGAAGGGGTGAAAAAAGTAAGGGAGAGGTTTTTCTAGTAAGTTTTGGCCTGAAATAAAATGTAGGCCACTCTGATAATGGTGTTTTCTCTTCTAGATGGTAGCTGACAATTTGAGGTTAACTTCCACATGATGAGGAAGCAGACTAGAGAAAATTATAATTTCTCAGTTACTTTTGAGAATTTTGTTATTTCAGACTTTCAAAAATAAATATGAGCCTGTGTTCTGCCAACTGACATTGTAAAAACCTGATTTTTCAATAGGTTTGCATCTGCGTTCAGGTCACGCTCTCATTCCTCCACTTGCAAATTTTGCACTCCTCCAATGCAGCGAGGTGGAGGCAATTACGTGCTTGCAACTGCACTACGTACCCTGGGACGTGAGGTGGCAATGAAAAATGCTACTCAGAGGATTAACAACCTTGAAACATCACTTCTAGCCTATCCTATCCGTTTTTCTCAGCATAAAGGCAGGAGTCCAGCGTATCAAATGGGGAAGGAAGGAAAAAGCTGATTAGTGTTCTGACTGGATTTTCCCTAAGGAAATTCTGACTATCACGTACTCAGCTGATTCTTATAACACAATTTTCTTGCCATTGGAAGCTGTCCATTGATGAAAATTAAATACATGTAATGTATACGTGGACAAAATAGTTCTTCCCTGGCATAATAGAAATCTTAAAATAGCTGAGAGAGAACGGCAGATTTGTCACGGTCTCAGAGCAATCTCAAACGCAAAAGTCTTACTTCTGGTCCCATAGGTGGTTGCCCATTTTGCTGATTATATATCTTGTATCGTGTGGCAGTCATGTAATGAGAACTTACTTTGGGAAATCGTTGGAAAATGAAGCAGCGTAGTTATGACACCATTGATTTCTATACCAGAGTAATGAGGGAAATCTTGAAAATAAAGTTGGTTGATTTACTTAATACAGAAATCCCTGCCAATTTCCAATGCACTATCAAATATAAGCATATTAATTTAAACCCAACAAAACAAACAGCTGATTTATTGTTTCTTTCATGCATATGTTTCTGAGTATTTGAATATGTCTACATCAAAAGAAACTAGATTTTTAGAGAGCTTGCATTGCCAAGTTAATGAGTTCTGGTAAGGTCAGTCTGTCACAATAAATCTAATTATTACACAGTTATTTTCTTTATGTATGCAGTTTTCACCATATGCTATACGATGGAAAGGACAGTGGAATAATGCTGTCCTGTTGGATTTGCTGGCCATGGGTGTTCTTACTTGTTCAGAGAGGGGGGAACGTTGTGAAACAGAGGACAGACGGACGTTTGTCAGTTGATGCTTCTATGACCTATTTAATCTGCATAATTAGAAAATGGGAAAGTTGTCTATGACGCTGATGCTGACTTCACTTCTAGGCCTTTCTGAGCTCATTTGAAGTACGGTAATGAGAAAAACATTTTACCTTTGGGCAGCAATCTGATTTGTCAGGAAATTCCTCTTGCTATGATGGGTGGATGAGGAAAATTTGGAATAATATGATCCAGATGTTAAAGCTCCCATTTAGCAGCAATGCAGATGTATTATTTTATGGAATTGTCCAGATGGTGACCTTCCAGTATTAATAATAAATCAGTACTGGGGTTTTCATCTATATGACTCGATTCCTATCTTTGTCCTCATTTACATCCCAAATACTATTGCATTTCAAGTAGAGGCTAATAGTATTAAAATTAACCATCTGGCAGACATAAAAATCAATAAGGAAATTTGAAACAATTACTGCAAACAATATATACCAATTGATCTGATAACAGCATCACCTGAGAGAACGTTATGATACCTTTTTTTACTTAATTGGGATTTCATTTTGTAGCTAACATGATAAACAGAGCTCTGTTGTAGGTTTAAGTTAGAAAGCAGACACTTTACTGAAGATGTGTTCCTGTTCAGTTTTGGCTTTGCTGCTTAAATTCAGACTTTAATTTCAGTTTTCTGAAAATTTCCCTTTCTTTCCATTTTTTTAAAATTTATTTCATTTCTCTTTAATTTCAGTTTTCTGAAAAACCTTTTTTCAGATGGGCTGGGTGGCAAGGTAGGAGCTCTGTCACTTTTATGGTCACAAGCAGCAGATGGTGGTCCCGTAAAGCCAGGGCTGCAGGGAGGAGAAAGTCATAACAGGGATCTAATGATGCTGTGTCATTATCTTTTCCGATGTTTCTAACTGTAAATTTATTTAAAGTCCTATTGTGAAATACCAGTTTGCTCAAGAGTTGCATGCTTTCTGGGGTTTTGGAGGATTTTTTAATAAGTTTATCCTTTTTCTTAGGAGAAGAATCCAGTCCTGCTTCAGTTGAAATGTCTGGCAAAATTGTGTTAGGTTTCACAGGGAGTAACACACATTCCTTCAGAATTCTACTTTTTGGGTTAAGGAAAGAGATTCATCTTCCATAGAAATAGCTTTTTGCGCTAGATTGATTGTGGGGTTTGTTTGCTTTTTAAAAATCCCCCAACTCAAAGCCAACATAAATTTGAAAACTGTCTCCCCTCAGGTTTTGGGGTTATTTCTTTTAGTAACACTTCTGTAAAGATCCAGGAGCTAAGTCCACAAACACATATAAAAGTCAGTCTTGCTTTATCTTTACCATCATCAGGCTTCCATGGTTTATTAATGTGATCATGGAGACAACTGGCATTACAGGGCTTTTGGCTGCTCAGTGGGTTTCAAATATTTGCTTATTGGAAAAGAAATAGAATATTTCAGCACTGTGGGCAATTTGAGTAAATACACATAATAAAGTTTGGTATCATTGAATTTACAAAAAAAAGGTTTAAAAGGTAAAGACACAGCATTTTGTGGTGCTGTAGAAAGAGATTCTAAGTAAAGCCTTCAGTAGTGTGGACATGTAATGGAGCAGCATCCCAAATTAATGCAGCAAAATATGCCTTTCTGGAAGTTTCTAAGAGCAGCTGTAAGGCTGAAAGGGCAAACTGCCTCCACCGATCTCAGAAAATGCTCCCAAAGCCTTGGCCCTGTGGTCACCTCAGTAACTTGAGCTGGAAAACAAACCCTAATGTTTTTTTTCAGGAGCATTTATTCTATCAATAGTTTAGTTTTTTGACAATAGGGTGTGGAGATCTGATGAGTTGTATCTCAGTGTTGTATCCATTAACTGCACGGGGATTACTAATTATTTACAGGGGTCAAGGCAGATTAACATGGTTATTCTAGGGCCAAAAGCCCTCCTGTGCCAGATGCTCTACAAATCATGTTTTTTGTATAGGTTTTACAGTTTGGCAATCTATTAATCAAACCTAACCCTGCAATATGTAGTTGTAGGATGTCATTGCTTCAAAATTACTGTCTTTATCCTGCCAACAGTTAGTCACACTGCTGCAGATGTGGGTTGTTCCTCTTTATTTCACCATCAGAATTTACTGGTGGAGAACCCTGTCCATGCAGGGAATGCTCTCAATTATTGCCAGTTACATCATTTTCAGAACAACCTGCAAGACTCTCTCAGGAAAAATACCACAGTATGTATGTATGTATGTGTGTATGTATGTATGTGTGTATGTATGTATGTATGTATTATTATTATTATTATTTCTTAAAGGAAGCCTATAGACAGAGGAGAGCAAATAAGAATACCCCTGGAACAAATCTTCACATATTACAAAAAGGCCTATTAACAATTCAATTTGAAGGAATCTTCCAACTGCAGTATGGATAAGTTCCTCTAAACCAGTGTTTATCAAACACACAAATGAAACAGAATTAAACGAGGTAGAATTAAATTAATTCCATCATTTCCATCTTGGTTTTTCATTCTGCAGTCTCTTACCATCAGCAGTCATCAGGTGCTACTGAGCCTTGAGAGGAACATATACTGAATAGTCTGAATTTATACCTTAGATCCTCCTCTGCCTCCCTAAAGAGAGGTCTGTATTCAGTCTTCTGAAGCTCCACCTCTTCCCTCTGGGCTCTCAAAGACAATTGCTAATGGGTCAGAGACTGACAATTTTTAGATACTTTAGATTAATTTGATCAGTGGTATCCCAACTTGACTGTATCTAATTTACCTCAGTTGTTTTTCACTTGTTCTTCCTCTGTTCTGGCCCTTGTCTCCCTCCTTCACAATTCCCAACTGTTAGTTTTAATTATATCAGCAATCTGTTCACAATTACCATCTCTTCTGAACACTGAAGCAAAACAAAAATGTTTTGCTGTTTGTTTTTGGTTTTTTTTTATTTTTGTGTGTTTTTTCCTCTATTACACATTTGTATTCACCTTTAAATAAGGGAGAACTAAAGAAGTGTAAAACTTCTATTGAATTCATATGAATACTTCAGTAGAAGGTGCTTATGTGGCATTTCATGCCACTCTGGAAAATATGCAAGGTGTTGAGCAGTCTTCCTTTTCTCTTATCCATGGATTGGTGTACAAATGGTTCCTTCTGACCTATGTACTGAGTTGTGCAATTCGAATTGTGGGTTATCAAGCCCTAATCTTTATCATGTCTGGATTTAATTTTTTTATTTACATAGCTATTTTTGGGTAAAATTGGGCTTGGCAACTGTTGTGATTTCCTATTTGATAGATTTTACTTTGTTTGCAGTGAAATTTCTCCAGGCCGGTCTCTTCATCACCACCTCAATATATGAAAAACCCCTTTTGTGTTGTGTAGCTGCAAGTTCTCTTACTTCTTTATTTTTCTTATTGCATAGTTGGTCTGAAGTTTGATATTTAGTCATTTTAAAACTCGTGTTTGCAGTGTGAAGAAAGGAGGGGAAAAACCTTAAACTTCAAATACCCACCGTGTTCACTCATTTAATTCCCTAATTTAACTACTGAGTTACTCCTCACACCTTCATTTATATGCCTGATGGAGATGAGGCATAAAAAGGCTGGACATAAAGGATAAAAATAGATAAACACTTTCATATAAGAAATACTTCATAATTCTGATTATAGTAATTTCCTGCTCTACCAGGCTATAATGCTGCTAGGGCATTCTCCTCTGGTTTTTTTGGCTATTTCCAAAGACAATACCGTATGTCCAGATAGTTCTCGACCTAACCTCTTAATCCAGCTGAAATTTTTGCCTAGGTATAATTTGAATTTTCTTTATGTTTGTCCAGGATTTCTGACTCGCAGTGTATTCAGAGCTCCTGTGCTGGACTCTGGTCGAGGCACCGTCTGACCAGAAGTTCCAGGGATGCTTCAAAACTGTGAAGATCAACCACATAATGCATCTGCTGCAAGTCCAACACTTCTTGGAGGTACTGGAGACACTGCAAGTACGTAAATCAGCTGTTCCTCTAAATGCCAGATTTACTGCTCATACACTGTATAGTTGGTTCACCCAAAAGTACATTGCTTTGATGGCAAATTCTTAGCAGAATCTTAGCAGTCTTGTGTTTCCAATACACTTAAGCTTCATTCTGTTGAGGTATTTTATTCAACCAGCTAATTTCCACCAACAGCACATTTTAAAGATATAACCACAAAATTTTTCAGCTCTATTTTAAAGGTTTTTTCTATGTGCTCTGTTGCAGCAGCAATGACAAGTCCTTTTTAGCATTGAGAAGCTCCCGTTTTATGAATATTCAGTAGCCGGGTTTCAGTCTCTCAAGACCTGTAACACATTTTCAAAGAGATGACAAGAAATGTTAACATTTCTGCAGACTCCATCAAGTTGGGGTTTATGAGGGGTAGGAGGTTAAATACTGCTTGCTGCAATTTAACCAAAAAAAATATTCTGAGGAATTTGTATTCAGGAGAACAGTGGGGTCCTTGACAGCTGCAGAAACTTAACTTTTCTTTGGCTGGCACCTTACGCCGTATGGAGATTTGGCTGATCTTGTTGCTTCTGCAAAACAATGAAATGTACCAAATTATTCTGTATAAGACTCTATACAAACACCCTTTCTATAAGAAAATGTGTCGGCTTGACCTTCTTATAACAGCCGAGTAGCTGTGGCTCCAAAAGCGGTTCATACCCTACTTTCTCCATTGCTTGCTGTCAAGCCACCCTTTCTATAAGAAAATGTGTCGGCTTGGCCTTCTTATAACAGCTGAGTAGCTGTGGCTCCAGAAGCGGTTCATACCCTACTTTCACCATTGCTTGCTTTCAAACATTTTGATACTACAAATACGAGGGTATCTGCTGCTGCAGAAGAAATTGAAACCGAACCTGCAGTTTGAAGGAAGCAGAAGCCAACCAGAGTAAAAATCTTGTTGATGTTTTATTCTGGTGTTTTAGTCTTTTGTGCTTTTATGACAGAATGGATTTTGGGGTGATGCTGCTTTTTTACAGACTGTAAAAGAGCTGTTCTTGTGCCACAGACAAACTGTTGAACATCCTGGTCTGCCTTAGCATTAGAAGAACAGTCTTAATCAAGTAGTAACCAGTGACATACACTGTCAGGGCCTGATTTGGGGTTTCCAACAGGCTGGTTGTTATGCACAAGGGACTTCGATATCTTCCTAATTGCCACAGGAAGACGAGCTTCTCACTTCCCCAAAGCCTGTGAAAGACTCATCTTACCCTTTCCCTTTTATAGCTCTTATCTTCCCCTTCCAAATAGGGTGATTATCTCAGCAAAATTCTCTTCTGTCCCAGTTACTTAAAATCAAGCAGACAGATACTCGTGTTTTGCGTCAGCAGTAAGATTTTAATTATTTCTTGGTATGCATCGTGGCACTAGTAAGCCAAGACAACTGTAGCCATTTTCGTGCTGCCTTATCTTTGATGGTACTTAAAATGTGTTTACTCAAAATGTGTTTATTCATCCTTTACTCTAAGCAAATATTTTGTTGTCCTTAGGCTTCTTCTTTTTCCTGGGAACTTGATCTTGACAATTTTACAACATCAGTGGCATACCAAGAAGAAATTTGGCCAATGACATCTGCGCACTCCGCGGGCAGAAAATTTTTGTGGATATAAATGAAGAAGGGATCATTGAAAATACCTACCAGCTGTCCTGTAATCATGTCTATCCTTTCCATGTAATTATGGAACTGTTGCTTTCTCCTCTTTTATGCTGCATTAAAAAATAATAACAACGGCAATAAATACCAAGAAAAAGAAGGAACCAAATCCACATTCAGAAACAACATAGCACAAAAGTAAAAATAGGAGCACGAAATACATTTCAGTTCTGGGACACAAGTAGAGGCCACGCAGCTTTTTGGGACACAAACTGTTGCAGGAGTGGCCGTAACCCTTCCAAAAGACGGCACACACATACCCTACAGCTTGACAGATGACCCAGGGTCTCATACTCAGAAGTACCAAACAACTCAGCATTTTGCATTCCAGTAAACGAAATGAAAGGTATCCCATAGGTGCTGGAATATTGTTACTAATCACCCTCTTCTGCAGTTCATAAAATTATCCTGGCTTCTTGCAAGCTGGAAAATAGAAATACCAGTCTGGAGGTTCAGGACATTGGATTCAACTTAAAAATAATTCTAAATATTCTAAATATTTTAAGTCATAAACCAAGGCAGTATCTGTAGTCAGACATTAAAATGATCTGCTGGTGGTTTGACTAGGTTTGCAGTTGCATGCAGTGGGCCTTGTTAATATTTGAAATCTTCTGTAACCTGATGCCAGATTTCAGGAATTCTGCATCTGTGGTTGGTGCATTGCTGGCAAGAACCAGAATTGCCCATACTGCCCTGAAAAAGCTGATTTGAAGAGGATGTTAAGCCCAAATCTTTAAACCCATATCCTTTCCCTAGCAAGTGTGCTTTTGATTTGGATTTTCTAAACCGCAGCCTGATTATTTGCTAATTCTTGTTTTGATCTGCAGTGGAGGGATGAGATGGCCACATTAAATAAATGGAAAACCAATTATTATTAAGAAACAATTATGTTTAGGGAAGATGATAGTTCTGTTTGGCTTTATCTTATCTTGGAGTCTAAGAAAGCTAGGAAAAAGAAAGTGCATATATATTCTTTCTTGATTTTAAGACATCCGGAAATAATTTTTATAATGAGAGGAACATTTTGAAGAATGTAAATCGCAGTTTTAGAAAGATCATGCAGTTGATTTTGCTCTTTAATGAAATAAAATTTATATAATCCACTTTCAGAACAAATGCTGTTTTTCCCCCTTCTCTTAGAAGTTACTCAACAACACTTTTTCCTTTAGCAAATGAAATAATAGTGGAGGATCTGCTGCTACATCCGTAGAAATCTGCCTGTGCGAAACAAAATTTAACTTAGTTTTTTGAACCCCATTTAACCATATTTGAGAAGGATATCTAAAATTAACCTTACCCGAACTAAAAAAGGAAGTAGATTGGAAGAGTTGAAAAGAAAGCATTTCAAAATTTTCACCCAATACTTCTTCTTTGATTCTGGCTAAGAAAAACACTGACATTTACCTATTGTTGCATTTTTCTCTCCAGTTCCTTAATAAAAGTTTAAATGGATATGCACGTGTATTGTATGGACAACTTTTCAACAGGCTCTGCTATCTGGTGGTTTGGCAACAAGTTGCTGTAGGCATCATCCAAGGCATTAATTACTCACTGGGTCTAGAGTAGGAGAATGAGACATGTTGCATATTTACCTGTGTCCAATAATATGAATATTCTGTACTTAATTTTAACAGCCTAGAGAAAACAGCAGTTGGTTGAACTCTGGTGTGCTATATACCCTTTTGCAGGGTAGTGCCTCTTTTTCTACTGTAGCAAGATTATACAGCATGCCATTAAAGCATTTTTTTTGTTTTCTCAATGTAAGAATTAAAATATATTGTTGCCATTACTGGTAAGATTGTGCTGGGAAAAATAGGAGTTCTTTTCTTATTATGAATATCCCTTTTAAAAAGGGAAAAAAGTGGCAATATTTTAAGTTTGTTTCATTATTAAATGTATTGGTAGTGGCTTCCAGGTGAAATTCTGACTACAGAAAGTTGTGCAGCAGATAAGGGGAATTTTAAGTCAGATAATGGCTTTGTATACAACAAATTCTGAAAAATGCCACCCAAACAGTTTGTTCATTTGATTAATGTAAGGTAACACAAGATTACCATTAGCTTTTTTTTCCCCTCGCCTTTTTCAAGAGCTGCTGTATTGTAACTGCTGTACCTTCCAATGGCCATTTGCAAAAAGCTCTAGCCATGACAACGCGTATGGTGGTCATGGTAGTCAGATAGGCCTATATGTGGAGTTCCTATGTTAAGTCCTCTTTGGCTTAACTGCCACCATGCCCAAAAGGCCCAACTTCCAGTAAGCAGCTCCTCAAACACAGGAGGACAAAGTCACGGTCCCTAACCACCAATTCCGTATGTTGCTGTTGCTTTTTAAAAACACAAAACCAAAAAAACCCTCAAAAATGCCAAAAAAAACCAGATCAGGAGGGTTGCCCAAGACTTGCTCTTTAGCAGCCGAATGTCTGGCATCTCTACAACCCTGGCCATGCTGTGAGGAATTGAAAGGCAGCATGTTTATGCAAGAGCGAACAGTTCTGCTTAGGAGTCAGAAAAGCTGGTCTTAAAAGGTAATTAGCCGAGCTGAAACGGCTTTTGAACGCAGATGAAATGCAGTCAGTATTTTAAGAATCTTTACATTGTTATTAGAAATCAGAAATACAGATTAGCTTAGTTTACACTTCAGCATATATAAGAATAAAGAAGAGATTGTGTGAAGCCAACTACAGATGAAGGGGCAGGTTAGATGCTATAAATAGGAAATGATGCAATTAAAAAACT